CTTTGCAAGCTTTCAGCAGACAACCTTAATTACATATTCCATGAAGGGAGTTTTCAATTTTAAATACTGTGTGCTTGCACGTGATGATAGATGAACATGTAAATGGAAGGCTCCAAAGCAGTAAAAGGCATCTCCAATCACAGGGCACTACAGAAGGTAGGAAGACTGAATAACACAGATGAATGTAGGTAGAAGAAAATTCCTTTAGCAATGTAAATGTTTTTGAAGCTGTGGTTGCATGTGTGCCTGATCTGAATGCCTTGTTTCTAAATAAATAATTTTTGAACTTTAAATATTTCAATAAAATAGAAATATTCTTACCAATGGGACAAGCTTTTGTGACTTTAATATAGAACTATATACAGTTCTCGAGTAAATGTGAGTACTTGAAAGACAGCAAAGGATAAGCCAACTGCAGACTATTTCCACAGCCAACTGATCTGTCATGAGATGTCTGAACATCTCAACTGCTTTCTGCACCACACATAACCAGCAAGCGGGACTGATCTAGCATGGTCACTGCTGCCTCACTGCTGTAACTACCACTCACTGTATTCTCCTTTCACAGAACTGTTCTTCAGTGAACATCACTTTGTTTTCGTGTCATTGACTTTCTGCGTGGTGTCAAGAAGCCTGAATAACCCCGTGTATAAACAGGGTATTTGTTTTCAAAAGAGCAGAGAGGTGATACATGGGGACCCTTCTGTCAGGCTCCATGAGCACCTCTCACTTCTGCCTCTTGCCTGTTGCAAAAGGGCAGTCTGTTCAATTTATATCTGTAGGATTCTGCAAGAACAAAAGGGACGTGGGATAAGGGATTATGGGAACATAAGGATCTGCCGTTGTGGATTTTGTTGCTTCTGAGGTCTGTGGAGGTGTGATGATGAGCCAGAAAAGCAGCTGTTTATGTGAGGTATTGGATGTGAGAGCAGAAAATAAACCAATCAAAGTTATAAATGTTAATTTATTTTCTTTCAATGATGCTTTCATCAACTTGTTGTTTTGTTTCCTTTTTGACTTCATCAGTTAAGTGGCAGTTTCATTCTCTTAGTTATTTATACAAAGATACAAATCTAGGTACGGCATTGAACAACAGATTAAAGTATAATGTAGTATAAAACACTGTATAACAACAATCAAAAAATAAGTACAAGAAAGTAAGTAATCAAAGTACCACACATCAAAGTCTAAATCTAGTCTCTTGGGAACTTTTTCTCTTTTTTTCTGTGGGAACTTCTGGCAGTCACAGTGCTCACTTAGTGTCTCTGGAAAGTGTTTTATGCATTCAGGCCACACTTCATTCTCCTCTTCACTTACTGCTTTAGCCAGATGTGGTATCCTCACAGCATTTCTGACAAAAGTCAAGTTAAAGGTTTTTCAGAAATGATGGAATATATGCTCGCCATATGGATGTTACTGATTTGAGGATTAAAAAAAAATCATCATTAAAAATGAAAACTGAAGATATGTAGATGTCCAGAGTTGTGCCAAACAGCTTAGGAAAGGGGTAGATAGTAACTGATCTCAAGCTGCTGGGCTTCATTTGCCAGAAATGAATCTATTCGCTGGAGCGGGAGGAGGAACAGAGCTGCGTTTCTGTAGTCAGGCTGCTTTATTTTCACCTCATGGAAACTTGAGGTGGTGACAGTCCCACCAGTTTCCAGCCCCATCCCGGATGGTCAGCCTTGCACAGCTGTTCATTCCCTCTGAGGTTGGCCTTCGGTTAGCAGGGAAACAATATGCAGTGAGGCAGAAGGAAAGGAATGGTGGCCATAAAAGTGTATTTGTTTTACTTCACTTATTGAGCCTAAAAACTCCTTAATCCTTAAAGCTTTTATTAGAACTATTTCAGGATAGTTTTATTACTAACCTATAATATACTGAGTTAAAAATGTTATTTTTTTAATGATGTGCTGGAGAACTTAGAGGCCTTCCATTTTACCAAGCATATTTTGTTTTAAACTCCGAAGCCAACCAGGCTGCTCTCCAGGAGAGCAGTCTTTTATTTATGAAACAATTGAAGAATTAAGTTGTCATTTATGCTTTTTTAACATTAAAGCTTTGGAATTTGCTTTTGAATATTGATTTGAAGTAGAAATTCAGGGGGTGTTTTTATTTGTTCTTGAGGGTTTTTTGTTTTGTTTTGTTTTGTTTTTAGTGTACGAGTGCCTTGGTGACAGATCAATTTCTGTGAAGCCATCTCTCATATTGGTGATTTATTATGTCACATTAGTTGGTCTCAGTCCATCTTCTTCTAGGCACCGAATGACCACCTCTACTTAAGGTATTCTTAAAGGACAGCGATTCCGCCTGCCTCTGTAAAGCAGGGTACACAGCAGAGGCCTGGTGCAAGTTGGTATTGTGGTCTTTGGGCCACTGGACTTGTACTCACTTGTCAGAAAACACCTTCCCCCGGCATGAGCAGTGACAGAGACAGTGGCCGGGGTCCATGTGGGTGTTGACCCGCTCGATTCTTCAGGGCGCTGGCGAGGTCGGTTCCTGGGTACGTTCGGGTGGGAGGCTCCAAGCTCCGGGGTGGTTTCCCTGGGCTGAGGAGTCCCCCACGGAGCAGTCAGGCTGCAGGGAGTTGAGCTCTGCTTTGCCACAGCCAGCTGAGCAGCCTGCTGGATAGAAAAAGTGCTTTGCCTTAGAGACACGATTCAGGAGAGACAGAAGTCGCGTACTTAGGACCCTAGGAATGCATCTTCAAAATAAATAGACATACTTGAAAAACACGTACAGGATCCTCCTTTGTATCTATGAAAAAATATGCAGGTGCTCACAAGGGACTTGTTTTCACCAGCCCAAGATAATCAGAAAATTAATATTCTTTCAGCTTCCTATGAGCTTCCCAGAACTCACAGGTATAAATCCACCATAGGGGAGAGGATATATTATATTACACCTTCTTAAGACATAAAAGAGGGCTGATGACTAATGCTGAATGAATTGTTGAGAGACTTATTTGCTTTTAATTGAGACTGCTTGTTTAGTACATGTCCCATTAATTCATTTTTGCTGTGACCATATTGAAGCAACATGCACCCTTGTGACCTTCTACTATAATTATTAACATATTCCTCTTTTGAAGCACTGTTTTGATTATGCACTCAGAAAGCTCTGCTAAAATATCTGCTAAAATATGTAGTATTAGCACAGAGTCAAATTTTCCATTGTTTTGAACTTAAGGATCTGAACCAAGAGAGTCATTTGTTATGGAAGTTCTTGAAGGTTAAGGGGCATTTACCAGCCCTTAGGGCTCCAGAGGCTGCTTCTTACTTTATTAGATTTTACAAAATGACTGCTTTTGAAGATGCAGAACTTGTTTTCTCACTAGAAATTCTTTAAGAAAAATGTGTTGCTGGCTGGTAGCACTCAGAGGTACCTCGTCATTCTCAGTTTTGCTAAATATTGTATGTGTAGGGGAGAGGAGGGCAGAAGACAGTAAGAGTAGCTGCAAGGGAGCTGGCAAACATGATCATCCCTAAACTTGCTGAGATGCTGTGTGGAACCCCTGCTCCAAACTCTGCTCTGGTTTTATTGTTGCTTAAATTAATTAGGAGAGGTGACAGTTATTTGCCTAAATCACCATAGAGCTGGCAGGGCATAAAACTGTGAAGACGGAACTCCAGACATGGTAGCCAAATTTGCAGTGGCAGGTGCCTGTCAGGGAGGCAGTGCCAGTGCAAAAGTGTTTGGGGAGGTGTTTCCCAGTGCTTTGTGTGATGAAGGTTATCTGCTTTGTTCCAGCCTCTGATACAGTAACTTAAGCTCCGTGATATTTCTGTGCTGTCAGCAGCTCCTCTCCTGCAGCTTACCAGACAGCCCCAGCCAAACGGTTTTCTCCTATCAAGCCATGCAAACAGGACCCATGGAGCAGGCCGTGGGCAGCCGTCACGCGGGCCTGTGGGATGAGAGGAAGGTGCTTTGAATGTTGGATCTTTCATTCAAGTGGAAATAGGAGATCTTTAAACAAACAAAAAAGTTGCAAAACCAATGCCCACTGGCTGCTGTTTAGAAAGCTGCTGAGTGTCCTTGTGCTTTTTTTGTACTTCTCACTACAGTGGTCCCTTCGCCTCAGACACAACAGGACACTCCCAGAGGCCATTTCTTTATACTGGGCTTGCTGATACTGTTTCCCATGTGATCCAGGTAGTGTCGCTGCTGTCCTTGTCCTTGGTTCCCTCCCGATCAGATCAAAATTAGCCACAGTTTCAACTTATTTTATAAACGCTGTGCATCTGTGTTCTCTGCATTCCTTGTCCTTTTCTCTCTACTAACTTACAGAATGCATTTGTTGGTTTTCTGCTGTGTGGAGTTACCTTTTTGTACAGGAGACTCTCTTGGTTTACTTGAAGTAATTAATCACACTTCTTTAAAGATTCTTTAAGCCTCTCTCTATCCTGCAGCTTCTTAGTGGAAGGGCCCTCCGAGGTGCTGGGAACTGCGGCTCCGGGGGACAGCAGGGAGCTGGGCAGCACCTAGCCCAGGCACTGCCCCCTCACGGACATTCTACATCCTCTTGCTTTAATATTGGTCTGAGCTGGCTTGAAGACTGCTCAGGTAGCAAAAGCTAATCTGTTAGTAGAAAAGAAAAAGGTTGAAAATCTCCCTTTAGCTGTGAATAATACTCCTGCATAAAAAAACTACTGTCTTGGACCAGCTCTACTTCATACACCAAGGGAAGGGAAGATGTGTGAGTGAGAAAGTCAAAGGAACGGGCTCTCCACAAAAGCAGAATTGCTTTGCCCGGCTCACTCTTGATATCTCTCTTTACATACTCTGCTTTAGAGTGCATATGGAGGTTGCTCTATAAAATACACCTTTCTCTCACTGGAGAAGTTCTCTTTTTACATGAAGTCCTGTGCCACGTCACACAGCATGCGGTCAACACAACATCCACAGCTCAGCATCCACAGGACTCTACTGAGTGAAATCTGAGCAAAGTCTGAGAATTGTTAAAGTATGACTCTCTGTTTATGCTTTTTTTTCTGGTGTAGAAACAGAAAAACTAGGGCTGGAGGCAGGAAATGGATTGCCATCTTGGAAATTTAGCGACCAGCTCTTTCCCTGTGACGTGTGCGGAAAAGTGTTTGGCCGACAGCAGACTTTGTCCCGACATCTCTCGCTGCACACAGGTAATTGGGTGCTCTGGCATCTGCCTTTGCAGCATTGAGCAAGTCTGCTTGTTCACTGTGGCTCATTCAGATGGCGGGAGTGAAGTAGAGGAGCTTGTGTGGAAGGAGTCCCCCTCAGCTCCTTGCCCTCCGAGTACAGCCACGTGCAGCAGCAGGCCATGGTGTTACTGGAGTCGCATTCAGGCAGTTAACTAACATTTTGTTTTCCTTAAAAAAAGAAAAAGAAAAAAGAGTCTTCCCAAAATTTGTAATTCATCTTTACAAAATGTATGTTTGTCCAAGTTCCAAAAGTCAGTCTGTAGATACCAACTGGTTAAGCACACCTGGTAACAGAGCTCTGAAGAGAAGCAGCAGCTTTTGTCCGTCCTTGCACTCTCCTGATGAGCTTTTTAAACTCTGCTGATCTGGCCTCGGTGTTTCAGAGAGACAGGTTTAATATTTGTGATTCACCTTTGCTCTCACTGTTTGTTTCTGCTGAAAGGAACAGAGCCTGTTTTACCCCACAGCAGCTTCCTTAACATCAATGGGTTTCAAATCAGCTGCGACTAACAGAGTTTTTACACAGAGGATGCACTGTGTTAGCTTGCTGAGGCACCCTGCACAAAACTAGACCAGAAAGCAAGAATTTTTGATGCAGTGCTGGGAGATCTTGCTGATAGAGAGCCAGTAAATGTTGTATGTGTAGCAGAGCCACACTGAGAAGGCTCAGACACTCTGTTCTGTGCTTTTGTGGCGTTTTCTTAAACTGTTCTATTGGATTTCTTTTGCCTAACACATTTGTAGTAGTATATTTCAAATTTAGAGCATGAGGTTTTCAGAGAGAAAGCCTGAAAAAGCTGATCTAATACTTGTTTTATTTTAAACAATTAATTCGTTTTACAAAATGAAGCTTTTATGTACAAGAACTTAGATGCCAGGATTTAGAAATGTTTATTTTTTTTAAATGCTATTTTAAAAGTTATGAAGTATCCAAAAGAGATTATGAATTTAAGTTATTTAATTGTGTTCTTTTGAGTGTTTTTTGGTTGGCCTGGGTTCAGAACTGGCCTAGTGATGCTGCCTTCTCTCTCCTCCCCACCCTCAGACTTTAATACAAATCAAACTTCAGTTCTCTGCAAGTGATCGCATGGGCAACCTCAGAAATACATAACTGGAGCTAAAAATCAGAGAGATACCAGGTAAAGATGTGGTTGCAGATTATGAAGCTGATTCTGTCCCAGCTCTGCTGTGTCTCTCAGAACTGCAGTTGCCCACATTTCCAGAGCGTGTAAAGTTGTATGTTATGTGGCTACAAACATTAGGGCAAGTTAAAAAAAATACCCCTAAACTAACACCGATTTTTTTTCTAATTGCTGTGAGCTACTGTAACGTTCTGAAGTCTCTCGCTTCCGAAGTACCTGATTCTGAAAGCCGCTTGGAGAAACCCAGAGAAATTCATACCTAGTCACTGGGAGCTTGAGAACGAGCTTGCTTCAGGAGGCAGTGTGCGTTCAAGGTTTCCTGTTTCTTTTTCAGAAGAGAGAAAATACAAATGCCACTTGTGCCCCTATGCTGCTAAGTGCCGTGCTAACCTGAACCAGCACCTGACCGTCCATTCTGTGAAGCTGGTGAGTACAGACACTGAGGACATTGTCAGCGCTGTCACTTCTGAAGGCAGTGACGGAAAGAAGCACCCTTATTATTACAGGTGAGGATGCAGCGGAGGGCTGTGCACAAAACACAGGCACCTGAATGTCTTACCTGCCTGCCAAGGACATGTTAGAGGGCTGCCCTTCTGGCCTTCCAGGGTGGAACTGCCCCAAAAGCGTTTGCCTGGCCCATGTCTGACTTGTGCCTCAGCAGCAAAACGCAGCTGGCTGCCGCATGCTGTTTGACTTGGCTAGTGCTGGGAAAAGCTGTGTTTGGAGATGGGGGGGTTACATTGTGTTATTATTAACGGCTTTGAGAGGCAGATGTACTTTTAGAAGCCTCTCAAACTTTTTATGCAGTGTTCATTTAGGTTTTGTGTATGGCAAAGTCCCATTGTGCACACAGACTCACGGCAAATCTAAAGCACGGTGATTCCAATTGCCTCTGTTAGTTGCATTATTTTCAGCCAAATCCATGAAATTGAATGGTAAAGTATAAAAAGAATTGTGGTCTCCACACACACATCTCCTCTGTTTGCTAAAGGAGTGTGTGTTCTGAGTCAGTGACCAACACAACGAGAGAGAGGAGGCCATTAAGAAAATAGGCCTGAAAAAAATAAAGAGGAATTAGCCAGATAGTGGCGTTATTTGGGCATGCTCATTGTTGCATGCCCTGGTGTGTGCTCCGCAACTGTGATATGCACCCTAGTGGCCAGACACATTACAAAAATCACTCCAAGAACAGATTTAATTACAGAATCATACAAGTAAGAAATAAATGAGACCTGCTGTATTAGATTATCTGGTCCATCCCCCTGGGAAGGCAAAATCGTGCCCCAGAGTATATGCCTTTTCAAATGTTTTTGGCTTGTTTTAAATGTTAATGGCCTAATCAAAGCAAGAGGAAGACTTAGAAAGTTAAATTAAAGAGTCTTTTCCATTACCTCTAAGTATCACTGTTTATGCACTGGCTGTGAAATCTGTAATCCCTGCTAATTATTTGCATAGCTGATGACTGCTGTTTTGCAGTCAAGCATAAGGAATGTCTGAACATGTTTTACTTGCTTACACTGACTCTGCCAGGCAGTTTTGCACAAGATCCCAGTTTGGCATGGGAAGCATTCCAGAGATTGAAAATAACTCCTGGAGTGTGTAGCAAGCTCTCTGTTTGTCAGTATATCAGCCCTACTAAACATCTTGGCAAGGCTGCAGTGCATCTTATTGCCCAAAGGAATCAGCTAGGTGATGCGCAGCATCTGGAATCTGTAGTTTTTAATTAACTATATGATTATTTAGCATCATTATAGCATGTACAGGATTGTTGCATTGTGCCTGCCCTTAATCATGTTGGCATGGCTGGCAGTTCAAAGGCAGCGCAGCAGACAATAGAATTTTCCTGTGAACATTCAACAGTGAGAAGGAAAAGAAATCTGCACAGTGAGCTACTACTTACAGAATGAAGGGAAGGGCTTGTGTTTGCATTTTCTTTTTTAATGTCTTTTGCTCTTGAAATCTCTTCTGTCTGCAGCTGTCATGTGTGTGGGTTTGAGACAGAGATGAATGTCCAGTTTGTCAGTCATATGTCCCTCCATGTGGATAAAGAGCAGTGGATGTTCTCGATTTGCTGCACAGCATGCGATTTTGTCACCATGGAAGAGGCAGATATGAAGGCTCATGTCAACAGCAAGCACACAGGTGATGCTCCCCCTCTCCTGGCTGCCGCCATCTCGCTCTCGCTTCCTTTCTAGGCGCAACTTTCACACTTTCCATCAGCATCCTCTTTACTTGCACTGAAACGCTTGCTAATTAAGGCCTGATCTTGCAAAGCTGAAGGGAGCTGGACTCAGGCAGATGGTCTGGTCGTGCAGATCAGTTTTCAAGCTTAGGGAAATAAATGAAGGTCTCCTTAGCCCTGCTCCCTCCCTGTCCGATCCCCTGGGCTGCTAAGGACAGCGCTGCATATGTGTTTTGTTCTTCTGGCTGCGTTAATGTTTCATCAAAAATCATCATTTCTTTACGGCGACAAGGTGACTTTGGGTGTAAATTGTGCATACTGGGTTGGAGGTAGGTAGCACACAATATACTGAACTTTGCTGCTGGTCTCTACACTCTCCCCCACAGTCTATCAGATTGGAATTTCATGTTGCCGTTTAGTTGACACTGTGATTTAGCAACACCATAAATGTAGCTGTATATTAAATACTAGAACAACTCGTATGTTCTCTGCCAATCCTGGTCAGTTAGTAGGCAAAGATAAGAGCAATAGCAGTTTTCAAACAAGGTCCATATGCTTAGTCCAATTACTGAAGTCTGGTATAGTTTAAGGAGAAGAAAATTCAAATCCTTTTAATTTCTCTCATAACACCAGGCAGAAGGGTTTTCACTGTTACAAACTACTGACAGTTTTGTTGACAGTGTTGAAGGTGAATTGTGTCTAGCTCTGTTTTTTTCCCATTGCTAAATTGCTTTTTCTGTCCTACCAGAAATAAAACTGGGAAACAAGGAGGGGGTGAAGCAGGAAAGATAGGGAAATGCAGTTATTTTTGCGTACAAATACATGAATTAAATGCAACTCTAGCGATACAAAGTATTGGGAAGGCTTCATGGGATTCTGTGCCAGCACAGCTCCCAGCTGTGCGAGCGCCCAGCTCCCTGCACTGTGAGGTGCTTGCATTCACCTATGGCTGTACACACAGGAACTACAGCCCCACTGTACATACAGGAAATCAAGGCCAATGGAGGCAGCTATATCTGTAATGACATATAAAGTCTGCATCTGGGCTCAAACTGAACTGCAGTCTACTGTTTCTTACTATTATGGCTTAAGAGTGTGGAGCTGCTGTTTGTCTTTTAAAACTTCTTTTTTAACTACTTGCTCCCCATTAATCCTGTCAAAACCAGCCATTTAGCTGGCAGTTCACCCCAATGCTTGCATGCATGGTAAATACAGGGCAGGTGGGGGGAGAAGAATTTTCTGGGTCGCTTGACTGCAGTCTGTTACCCCCCATAAGGTTGCCAGGTCATAAAAGCCTGTTTGCACTGGTCTTGGTATATGTCTTCAAACACATAAGGTTGTTTTGAACCACCTATTTTTATGGAGAGTGAGGTACAGCTTTTCCTGCTTTAAAGATTAGGGACCTTTCTAACAACTCTAGCCTGTGTCTTACTGATAATTAGTAACACATATCTTTTTCTTGTGCCAGCTCTGCACTTTATGTGAAAGAGTAGTCCCCGCTCTTGCTTCCTTTACCTACCTTCTCCACTGTTTACTCCCTTAATACATTTATGGAGCATAACCCCCACCCCTCTAACTGTTCACGGAGCTTTTTCTCATATGAAACCCACTTTTCTCATTGCACCAGTCCCCATTGCATATGTTCTTGTTCGAATTCCTGTTCTTGACATGCACAATCACAGCTGTACATGTTGTATTAGGTGAGATGTAATAAGTGGTGTTGGTAACTTACAACAGCAGCAGCTACTGGGACTAGCTCACACAATGCACTGTATCACCGTGACCATATTGACCTTTCCTGGCAGCCCCATCACACTGATTGTTCATATTCATCCCATGTTCTGCTCAAATTCTTCCTCTGTTTTCTTTGACTGTTTCCTACTTATAACGCCTCATTTGTAGCAAAAATTCTTGTTACTGGCCCTTCAGGTCATAACCTTGTGTTCTGTACTATTAAATTTCATTCTATTTCTATTACTGTAGTTCCAAGGTCAGCCAGTCTTTCTGTGTAACCCAGCCATCCTCCCTGTTGAGAGCTTGGGCCATCAGATTTCATTAGTGCATTCCCATGGTTTTATCTTAGACTTAAAGGTGTTGGTCATTTGTTTAGAGCTAGGCACATAGATACTGTTGACTTCAAGGTACTTGGGTAGGAAATTTCTTCACATATGTAACATAACGCTTTAGCAAAGCTGCTTTTTAGAACAGCTCTGATGAAACCAAGACCCAGGTGGGAGCTAATAATTTGCCCATTCTGCTTCTTTGTCTGCTCATGACAGATTAAAGTGGGTTAGAGTCTGTATGAAAGCTCTCACTCTAGTTCATCAACTGTGCTGCACTTTGGGATGCACTCCAGATGTTTATTGCACACATGAGAAAACTCTGGTGGCCTTCAACTGCTAGATCCAGTTAAATGAGCTTTTTCTTTTTAATTAATTTTTCTTCATCGAGAGGTCTTAACAACAACAGATAAAACCTGGGACCAGACTGTTAGCTCTTACAGTCATTGCTGAGGATGTGCACGCACTACAAGCAGTGGGGTTATTATCCTTTGCCCCTCCTCCCAGTGAACCCACATAACCAGGAAGGGGGCCAGGCTTAGCCAGGACCAGTAACACAGTGCGCCATGAGCCACATGTTTAGGTTCCACAGCTCAGGGAACCTACAGAAAGTGACAAATTTTGTATTGGCATTGAACTCTCTGCTAAGCAGAGGGCTTCCATGGGATGTTCTCAGCCTAGTAATGAAGTAGCCTGACGAACTACATTGCTGCTGACACTGCAGACAGAATGCAAACAGAGATTACATTCTGACAGATGTACTGCTGTAAATGTGCATCTGTAAAAAAAGGAGGGAGGTGCAACTCTGATGCTCCCCAAACAAATCAGTTAATTTCAGACTTGTTCATTTAGTAAACAGATTTAACTTTAACTACATAAACATTTTTCCTGAAGTTAAAAACAAGATCACTGGATTTTCATCTAATCTGTCATACTAATTAGTGCTCTTTATTCTGTTTTTTGTTTTGTTTTTTTCAGTTGAAGACAGGAAGATACCCAGTGAATCTAACAGCCCATCTTCGTCGTCTTTGTCAGCACTGAGCGATTCTGCCAACAGCAAAGAAGACGCAGATCTAACCCAAAAAAACAAGGGTTCAAGCAACCTGCTAGTCATTTCCGTAGTGCCTGGTAGTCAGACTTCACTGAACACCGAAGAGAAGTCAGAGAAAGGTAAAAACTTGTTACACAAACACAAGCCTCACTTTCAGTGCAGTGGCTGCAGCCAAAATGTCAGCAGTAAGTATTCATTTCTTTCATTTCCAGGCTTTGAATGTGTTTTCTGTAACTTTGTCTGCAAAACAAAAAACATGTTTGAGCGTCATCTGCAAATCCACCTGATCACCCGGATGTTCGAGTGTGATGTGTGCCACAAGTTCATGAAGACACCTGAGCAATTATTGGAGCACAAGAAGTGCCACACTGTCCCCACCGGTGGGCTCAAGTAAGGAAAGCAAGTACACAAACTTTTACTGTGTTAAGCACCTCTAATACTGCGGGCATAGGGCAAGAGGAAGTCAATGAGAAAAGATTAGTTAAATGCCTGATAATCGAGATTTGGGACTTCTATCTAACTAGATTAACACATACACAGTCTTCAAGGTTTCCTTAAACTAGGCTTGCATCATACAGCGAGGTGCCCTCGCAGTAGACCTAGTGTCCTACTGCCTCTGAGCTATAACTAAGCATCATCCATTCCCTTTTCAAGTTGAGTGCTGTAGTACAGGGCTCAAGGCAAATATTTCATCACCATCTAGGGGAAATACAAGTCCATGTTACTGTTTCTGCATCAGAGTCCAATTTGGACTTTGCCAGTCCTTTTTTTACAAACCTGCCTTTTAAAAGATCTTTATTTAAGACCCTAGGTGCTGCACTTCAGGGTCTCTTGGTACAGAGCAGTGTTTCTAGAAAGCGAGCCTGCCCTCGCGGCAGCTTTGGGCCTGAGGAGGCAGCACGTGCCATTGCTTGCCACCGTCTCTATGCAAACTATTCCTGCTTTGCTCAAGAAATAGTTTAGTACCTTGAAAGCTGAACCTAAGGAAAAGCTCTGATTTTTTTTTTTAAGGCATGCTAAAGAGATCTAAGTACATTGTACTTTTCTGTCTCCTGTTTGCTTTGGGAGAAGAGAAAAAAAACAAAACGTGATTTCTCCAGCTCCAGATCAAAGTCTGAGATTCCCAGCCCAGGAGAGGTATGTGTGCATAGACATAGACAGCTGAGTCTTCTGCTGCAATGGAGCTAATCGAGTTAGCCTCAACACTAGGCTGCCTCTCTGGATCAGAGGACTTCATGTACGGCAGGAAAACTGTCTGGATGTTTCATTAGCCATTTGTCCTTCTGTACTGTTCATTGTGCTCAAGGGGCTCTTGTTTGTCAGCTAGATAAAATTCAACTTGTACGTGGAACTGCTGGACCAGTTCTAGCAAATGTAAATAAGTCTGAAGAGAGAGGATCTCTGCTTAGAAATTATCTCAAATGATGGAACATAAGTGTCAGATGTGCCAACCAGTGAAAGCTGATGAGCCACAGATGGAGGCATCTGTAAGACAGCGGCTGAGTGCCTTATTGTGTCTTCTTGTGTAGATTTGCTTTTTTAGCCCAGCAACTACATCTGGAATGGCATGTGCTTCCTTTAATATTGCAGAGATGCCTGGCAAGGGGCTCTCTTCACCATCATGTTCTCAGCTACATAAGAAAAGCTGGTGTGTCGTGGTGGTGTTGGTGGCCAGGCTTCCTTCCAGATTCCCTCCATCAGCCACTTTGCCCCCCCACCTCACCCTGTTGCCATCTCTCCCAATCTTTCTCTCACAGCGCAGCACAGTGCAGTTCCTGGGAGGGCACAGACAGGCTGCAGACCCACCTTGCCAAACACCCGTCCTCTCTGAGCAGAACTAGCTCATCTCCCAGAAAAGGGAATCCCTATGGATCAGCCCAACACACTGCCTTTCAGCTGTGTCTAGCGGGATACTCAGCAAGCTTATTATTCCAGGTCACAGATAAGGAATTTCTTAAGCGCTTGCTCTACAAATGGCATTACAAGTTTATTCCATTTTTACTTAAGCAGCTTCTTTCATAGTCATGTGTAAAAAGCTCTTTTTACACCACTTCTTTACAGTTAAAATAGCAAATGTGACTTTGAGCAAACACTAGAAATGCCGTTACGCAAAGCACCTGTGACTCAGGCGCCCTTCTGCACATCTCAGCTGGCTTTGCAGTATCGTCCCCATTGAGGTAAGCCACAAGATTAGAGCTGCTCCTTCAGAGCATGTCAGTGTTTCCCTAGGAGCGGAGCCCTACTGCCATGAAACAGGCAATCCTGCTCCCTGTCAAGATGAACTCAATACATTTCAGAGGCCCTGCAAGGAGACCTTCCCATGTCTTTTTCCTTTTAGTAGGTCAGAAAGGG